CTCAAACCCTCTTACTATAATACTACTTTTCTCCTCTCTTCCCAAATATTCTTCAACCCTAATCCATCCATTTGAAGTCCTTGGTGGTACGGAGAAGAAAGAAGGTCCATAAACATACAAAACAAAGATCTAGCAAACAAAGGAGAATAGTTAGTTTCCTGAGCACTTAGATAAATCCCTTTTCTTTTCTTATTTAAATAACTTTAATTGATTAATTAGTGTTGATTGATCACTTTAGACAAACTTTAATTAATTAAGTTCACATAGTATTCTTGCATTAATTAAAGACTAGAATTGAATAATCAATTGTTGTTTTATCACCTAAGTCAAGGCGAATCTTGTTTAGTTATTGTTCTTTTCACGAATTTGAATTAAATGAGAATAATGACATTCGTTGCAATATAGATTTTTTGTGATTAATGCTTGTAAATAGAATCAACTAACTTAGTTATAGGTATCACATTGCATGTATTGTTTGGTGATGAAATTGTGAGAAAGGAAAAACTAGTAGAGGCCGCACTAGGGCTAAGATAGCGATTTCCCTCTAAAGGGAACGTTATTTTAGTACCCTCGCTCCCGAACTCATTTCTGGTATAAGTGGACCAATTTGGGCATGGGTAAACTTATGATTCGTGCTAAATATTCCTTGAACTCTACTTGGGAGAAAGGCATGAACGAGGTTCATAAGTTTTCCTAAAACTCATTAGCGACTCCCTATTAGTTTCTTACAAAAAAGCGTAATGATAGAATCAATTCTAATTCAAGGTCCCCCAAACAGTCAGGAATTCAAATCCTACCACACCCTCAAAAGTATCAAAAGTATAAAGTCCTAGGCTTTTAAAGGGCCATGACTTGAACACATAATATCTTCCTTTTTCACAAGAGTAAAAGCCAAATAAGCAACATTGCATCATGCATAATCATAGCACACTTTAACCTTTGGGGATTGGCTCATTGACTAGGGGTCGCCAACACTAGGCTTCTATCCCAAAATCAATAACAATCATCCCACCCATATAGCCAACAAAATGTTGAGAGATCCATGCCATGGGTCAACAAGTTGAGTGATTGATTCATACATCGTTCTTAAGATATGGTACCTTTGGACACCCAAGCCTTGACATAGAACGGCATTATATGCTTTGACGGTTCCTTTTATGTGCTTATGTGACTACATGACTATGTGCTTATATGCCTCGTGTCTAGTTTAATAAAATTCCAACTTGTTACCTAGAGGTATTGAAAAATTTGCAAAAAAAAATAATGGTTTGAAGAAGGAAAAAAAAAAAAAAAAAAAAGACAAACAAAAAGGTCGAACCTGCCAGGTGGTGCTCGCAACTGTCAAAGTTGCGCGGCCCCTCCAAGCGCAAGTCCAAAAGTTGCGTGCGGCTCTTCCGCGCAACTATGAGTAGGGCTGTGCACCGGTCCAAAATCGGACCGGACGTGGACCGAACCTGTTGGGACCGAGACCTGAATTAGTGAAATTTGAGGATCGGAGACCGGACCTGATTCAACAGGTCCGGTTCCGAGTCAAACCTGATAAATCAGGTCCAGTCCGGGTTTTGGACCTGAACAGACCTGTTTTGTATTTTCACTTAATTTAATTTCACTTAATCCTATCCATTTATTATAACAAAATTACTTAATCTACAATCCAGTTTGCTTACTCTATTACTCTGTTACGGTGGTGGTACCTGTGCAACAACTGACGGACGCTGGTTCAGTGCAACGACCGACGACATTGAGGAAAATTGATTGAATAATTGCAAGAAATATTGGGTTCCCACAAATTCCAACAAAACCCTAAAATTCAAAACAACGACAAAACAACACAAAAACAACAAGCAACAAATAATTATACTAAAAAAAACAAAAAATACAGAGAAAAATTAAACAGAGTTAGTAATAAACTAATAACAACAATCCTTCTACTTCATCTTTTACTGCACCTCCTTTAACCACTGTTGATAAGTTTGTTCAATCGTTTCTTCATCACCTTCTCATAAAACTGATTTTTCAATTGCTAATTATACTAAGTGATTGATAAATTTGTGATTGGAATATTCAGATCCGAAGCGAAAGCGGCCGAGGCCATACCCAGGAGGATATCCCGAGTGGTTTCGGACCTCGCTGCTTGACTGTTGGAGAAGAAGAAGAATAATGAGACTGTTGGAGAACTTGGAGAAGAAGAAGAAAAATGGAGAGGAGAGAGAAACAACTTACTTGAGTGTTGAGGAGAGAGAAACGGCTGTTGCCTTGGAGACTTGGAGTATGTGTATTTTAGGGTTTCATGTTTCATATAACAAAAAAAAAAAAATTATATATATTCCGGGTTTCAGGTCCGGAGGACCTGATCCAGACTGGAACCGGAAACCTTGAATTTCAAGGACCGGGACCGGACCTGAATCTACAGGTCCGGATCAGGTCCGGTCCCAACAGGTCCGGTTCAGGTCGGTTTTCAGGTTCGGTCCTGTTTATGCACACCCCTAACTATGAGTATTGTGCGCATCCACTGTTTAACGTTAACTTTGACTCGTTACGAGCAATGTTATACGGGGAAAACGATATTACCACTTCAAGGTTAATCGTTAAGTAGGTGCTAATAATATCTCTTTGGCTAACAACGTTGTCTAACTTAATTGCTTTTACTTTGTTCACCTTTTCTTTTTTTTTAAAAAAAATTCCAAAAAAAATGTCTTTTAATCGTTCTTTTTTTTTTTAATTTTTTTTTCCCGAAAACATGTCTTCTATCTTTCTCTTATTTTCAAAATTCAAAAAAATCTTACGTTATCCTTAATTTTCGCAAAAAAAAAAAAAAAAAAAAAAAAAAAGCATGTCGCAAGCGCTACTCTCAAACGGAAAATTGTGCGCGATACTATTTTCGATTATGATGATTCGTTTACGTACTTTTTAATCGAACTAATGACATTACTTCTTATAATTAAGGTTCGTCATTAGAAGTTCGCATCCCATAATAGGACGTCATCAATATTCCTATTCCTAAACGTGCCTATTTTCGTAATCATCTTCTAGTTGTAATTAATCAACCTTTATTTAGGAGTATAATTTATTTATCTCTTCTATGCTTTAAAAAAAAAGAGAGAGAGAGAGATAGAGAAGTGGAGCGAAAAAAAATCGAGAAATCGTTCTACAAAAAAGAGTATGATGCAAAGGAGAAAAAAAAAAATCCTCAACAAACAAAAATAATAAGAGGGAATAATGTATGATAAATCCGAGAAAATGATTAAATTGTTTCTTAGATTTTATGTTCAAAGGCCACTATTCTTTTTAAACCAATAGTAATTATCCTTTAAAGATGAGCAATATGAGAATCTAAAAAAAAAAAAAATTAAAATAAAGATCTCTATTGTAATCTAAATGATCAACAAATACCACATTCTAGTATATTGATCATTTTGAGGAGTGTATTAAGGCTGATTAATATTTCTAAAAATTTGATGAGCACTTTCAATCCAACTTTCCTTTTCTTTCTCTTCTACCTTTTTCGAAAACAGTACAGTTCACTTAAAGTAAAATCTTTAGATGGTTACCTTGTTGAAGTCAACACAAATCATGACATTCCATTAATGATTGTTCGTGAATTTTTTAATACTTCATCAACAAACTTGCTTAAAGTGAATTTGTATTAAAAGGATTAAAAAAAAACAATCAAATTTGACTTTTTTTCGTTGTTTAAATGCTTGGCAGAAAAAGTTCAAGTGAACGCACTCAATTTCTCGTGATACACATTACTAGGTCATATTCCACATTCGCATCCTAGTCCAATCATGTATGACAAAACAGCATTGAAGAAACTTAGAGAGGAACTCCAAAACCTAAAGGCCCTATGAGAAGAAAAAGCCCAAATTAAGGCTCATAGAAAAGCAGAAAAGGCTAAAATAAAAGCAGAAAAAGAAAAAGAAAAAAAATTCTGCAAGAAAAAACAAGAGCCGAAAGAGTATAGGCCTTAGAGAAACTTATCCTTCGAGCTAGTTGAGCTTGCACCACCACCTAGTGGCAAGACTCTCTAAGAAAAATTCTTGACTACGGATTTACCATCCTTTAAGGTTACAGACAATCTTAGGACTCACTTAATGAGCTTTCTCGGAATTATGTCATTGAAAGGGGTTGAGCACAGCTTATATGCATGTACTTTTCCTCTTTCATTGAACCCAACTGCTAGATCTTGGTTTTATAACCTCGATACAAAACAAACTTCCACTTGGGAGGACGTTGTAAAAGCGTTTCTAGCCCAACATGGAGATAACATCGAGCTCATAACTACTAGTTACTCAAGTAAGGGGAAGAAGAAGGCTTCATTGACTTCTTTTCCAGGTGGCGATCAGAGGTTGCTCTTCTTTCACAAAGGCCTACGGATCATGAACTTGTCCCAAAGTTATAGACAACATGTCTCCACCATACAAGTGTCATTTACAATACCTTGGTTTAGACACATTTCGTAAAGTCTATACTGTGGAAACATTAATTGAAAGGGACTTAATAAATGAAACCATGAATCATATCGATGGACTAGATTTTTAAAGAGGATCTCACCTACGTTGGAAACGGACAAAGCTCGAAGACGCAATCTCAAGAAGTTGTCAACAATTCAAGATGTAGTTCCCTAGGTCTTGTTTTGTTTCTTTCCTTTTTGTTTTCTATATGATAGACTAAGAGATTCATGCTGTCGAATCTACTTATTATGTACTCTCATTAATTAATGAATAAAAAAAAATTATATTTTCAAGTACGTCTATCTATTACACTACAAAAAAAACCCATTTATCGCAACAGGTTTTTGCAACGACTCAATGTTTGTCGTAGCAAAATATAGCCTTGTCAACGACTAAAATAAATCGTTGCAAATGTTGTTACGAAAAATCAAAATTTCATTTCCCTCCACAAACTTTCAGCGTGGGCAATGAAAATTTAGGGCTAAAAATTTAGTACTAGGATTAGCAGCGGAATTAGTCGTTGCTAAAAAAAAAAAGTAATGTATAGCTATAACAGTAGTCGTTGCGAAAAATAAACCATTGGGTATTGCAGCAACAATAACTGTGGCCAAAAATAACAGTGTGTGTAGCAATAATATCATTAGTCGTCGCAAAACATATATGAAAATTAAAAATGAATCATATACCCGTGCCCATTCCTTATTCCTTCAATTTTCTTGTTCTAAAAACAAAAACCCTACCTCCTTCCCTCTCACAAGTCTCACTGCATTCATACCTAGGTCTATGAAGTATATTCGGCGGTAATTATAGTGAAGGGCTCCGGTGACACATCTTTATCTCGACAATAACTTTAATCTCCGGCGACACTGCTTCACCATTTGAGGTAAGATTTCTGGGTTATAATTGTCGGGTTCGATTTGAAGGGTTTTTAAATTTTTGGGTACGATTTCTAGGTTTATTGAGCAGTTCGATTTCTAGATTTATTGAAGAGTTCACTTTCTGGGTTGATTGAAGAGTTCGGTTTCTGGGTTAATTCAAGGGTACGATTTGAAGAATTTGTAATTGAGATGTAATAGCCCTCCATTGAAAGCGACTTCGTCACGATGAACTCAAAGCGTGCGTATATAACTCTTAACCTCTTTATATTTAATTACAACTTTCATTCTCTTTAATTGTGTTTTTTTATAAATGTATTTTGTCCTTTTTGGTGTTCGTTTATTGATCAAATTGATTACATGTTTACTTCTTGTAAAGCCCAATTGCTTTTGTTCCTAATTTTTTTTACCAATAGAATCATTTATATGGAATCCTTATATATATTTATATGTGTATGACTTCTAGAAGAGTGTTTTTCTTTTTTCTTTTTTCTTTTTTTTTTTTTTTTTTTTTTTTTTTTTTTTTTTTATGCTTTTGTCTGAAAGTTGGTGATTTTAAACATGATATGAAGTTTCTATTCTACTTTGTATGCTTCTAACAAACAATTAGAAAATAAAATGGTGAATTTGGTTGTTTAATTTGTTGCTAGGCTAATATCTAGTTAGCAACTGTCAAGTCAAAGTTAGTTGTTTGTTTAATTGAAAGTGTAGAATACCTTTTAAGTCTGCCTTTAGGTTGCTTATTACAAATTATCTAGGTAACATTTCCATTTGTAAAGCCTGCATCTTTATACTAGAATTTGCCTTTTATTTTATGATAGATTGAGAGTGTTATATATATATATGTGAGTTGGTATTGACGAATCTACTTACCTAATATGTCATTAGTTCTACCCATATTGCGCACTTAAATTCTAAAACTTATATGGTTGCAAGAAATGCTACTAGCTTAGGGATAAACTAACTCTATAATTATACTCATACAATCATATATGTTAACTGAATTTGAAGCCTATGAGGTATAATATATGATTTGATGTATAATATATGTAGTTATGTTCTTATCATATTAATCTCTTATTAATATTGCATTAGCTTATGTCATTGAAGATTTGTTTTTGGTAATCAAATATGGTTGCTATTCCATATGCATGATTAATGAAAGTATATGTCAGATGATATAACTTTAGCTAGTCATACATGACTTATGATTCTATACATAGGCCTTTTTCACTCCTTTCTCATGTAATTTTACAAAGTGTTGATGAAGATAAATGATGAGTTTGATGATGATCAATATGTTACAAGATGCTTGTGGCATGAGTAGAATGAATTTAGAGGAAGAGGCGATGCGTGTTTTCATAGTTTTATCATGTTATGCTTTTGGTATTGTTTTTACACAAGCTTTATCGATTATGGGCCAAGTAGTTTAGTATTCTCTGTTTTGTGCAATAAATATGTACCTGTTTTTGTTTTAATAAACATTCAGCCTTATGTGCTGCTGGAGCTGCCGGAGCTCTGCTTTTGCTAGTGGATAATGGTGGAGCTGCTGCTTTTGCTTTATTGACTATGCTTTTGCTCTGTTGGAGCTTGTAAAAAGGAATGAAGGTCTGTTCTGCTTCTGTATTTTACTGCCATAAATAAATAAATGTATAGTGCACCAGTTTTATGCAAGGAGTGATAAACTGATAGCTGGCTGTTTGTACCTTTCTCTCTCTCTCTCGTTTTGAAGGGTATAGTTGCATACATCTAGTCATCCTTGAACCTGGTTTGATGGGAAATTACCCAAATTATTATTGCTTTTGAGCTTATAATATGGATCAAGCATAAATTTATTTGTTTTTTTCTGGTTCATTGGAATGTAACTTTTATCATGCGCTTGTTCCTTTGCTTTTTTTTTTTGTTATGAAATTATTTGAACTTATTAGAGTATCTTTTTATTCTCAGGGAACTGTACAGTAACAATATCAGTGGGCCAACACCTAGTGACAAATTTGGTCAGTTTGGATCTTTATTTGAACAGTTTCAGCAGTCTAATTCCGGAGTCTTTAGGCAGGCTACCAAAGTTGTGCTTTCTGTATGTATACTAATCCCTTGCTTGACTCTAATTTATCCTAGAGAAATACACCTTATTTGCCTTTAACATTTGCATTGAAATGTATCTGTGTTGAATGTATGCATGGCCTTATGTGGTCCTATGCTATCTTTCCGCTAGTAGTTATAGGGAATGCCATTTGATATGGCTTTCACGGCTGCTCTTGGATAATTTATTATGTCTAGCTATGGAATATTGACTTAGTGTAGAAAAAGGGGTTCTCGTACTGCTTGCCAATGACTTCTTTATATGTTTTGAGTGTGTATTGACATGAAAATTAAGGGAAAAAGCTCAAAAGTTACAGTTCAAATTTGTAATGAAAGAATGTGAAAAGAAATATAGGTAACATCGATACATTAACTTGGTATTTGGTGTTAAGATAGGGAATAATAATTTGTTAATGATGCGTTACCAATTAATCATAAGCTTGTATTTGATGTGAAATGGTTGTTATTGATAGCCATGATAGGAATTATTAGCTTGTACTCAATGGAAAATGGTTTAGAATTAATTTTATTTTAATGTACAAGTTTGATGTTGATACCCTATTGGTGGGGATTGCCCATTTTACAAAGGAAACTCTGCTAAAAAATGTCATAAAAAATTTAGCTTCTTTGGGTGGCAGTTTGTTATTAAAATTACTCTTATCCAAGTTACAATTAAGGTTGTTTGTGTTTTATACTCAGGGGCCGTTTGGTTGGGGGTATTCATCAAAGGGAATGGGAATCAATTGTCCTGATTCCCTTTGTTGTTATTTGTTTGGCATTTTTTCCCATTCCCTTTACCCTCTCCATTACCCCAAATCCTTCCAACTTCATTCCCCACCCCCCCCCAAGGTTTTTCCATTCCCTTTCCTTAACCACCACAACACCACCATATCCAAACCAGCCACCACCATCCTACCCTATCCCCACCACCCAGCCACCATCGCCGCACCTCCACCATCCCTCGCCGGAGCTCCCCCGTCCCTCGCCGGAGATCCCCTCCCCCAAAAACTCCCCCACTCCCGCAAAAACCTTAAAAACTCACCCCTTTCCCCGTAAAACAGCCGGTCGGCTCTCCTCCCACCCTCGAAACCAGCGGCTGGGTTTACACGGGGTTTCGAGGGTGGTGGGAGAGCCGGCCGACGGTTTTACGGGGAGAGGGAATTGTTTCTAGGGTTTTGTGGGGTTGGGGGAGGTTTTTCAGGGGAGAGCCGTGTGGGTACATGGAGCGGCGACGAGGGGCGGGGGAGGTGCAGCGAAGGGTGGCGAGTGGTGGGGGAGGTGCGTCGAGTGGTGGGGTGGCTGGAAATGGTGGGAAGTGAAGCAATTAGGTAGTTATGTGGTGGTTGGATTGGTGGCAGTGTTTCCCTTTGTTTTTAAAACAAACAACATAAAAAATTTAAGGTAATTTCATTTCATTCCCTTTGTTCATTCCATTCCGTTTATTGCTTGTGTTTTTTTATAAATTTATTTTCAGGCAATAATGCAACATCATGGTCATTCATTTGGAGGTATGACGAATGGATTTATTGCAAGCTAAGTTCACAAAGTACATGCAATTGTAATATTTTGAAGCTTGAAGATGGGGAAAACTTAGAATATATTGCTCAAATATATAGTATAGTGAAATATTTTGTATATTAAGGAATTAAAGAGTCCTTATTTTTTAGTTATTATGACATGATAAATATTCAAACATACGATGTATTTGACAGGCTTTAAAAAGCAAGCTTATATTAATATATAATTTATATTATTACCAATTGAGTATAGTTTTTATATAGTTTTTATATAATTTTTTAGTTTTCATTTTTGATACTTGTTACAAAAATAATATTAATAAAACAAATTTTTAATGCAAAAAAAATTATTTTTGGCTACAACATGTGCTGTTGTAAAAAAAAAGTTCAAAACATATCGCAACCAAATTGTCGTTGTAATTGACAAACTTCTAGCTAAAATTCTGGTGTTGCTATACATATAACCATTAATAGTAACAGATTTGTCATAGCAAAGCATACATTTTAGCTACACTGGTAGTTGTTGCCATACATTATAGCTATTTTTCGCAGTAACTTTTGTTGTTGCAAAAAAAGGGATTAAACCTTACAAATATGGTATGTTTTACAACGACATAATTAGCAACAACAAAAGTCGTCGCTAAAAGAGAAATATTTCTCTTTTCAATCACTTTGCTAGTATTAGCTCGAATTAAATGAAATACACATAAAACCAGACAATAAAAAAAAAAAAAAAAAAAAAAAAGGCATACGTGCTCGACACTTTAAGAATCTTGACTAGCTTTGGCTTACAAGATTTATCAAATGAAAAGAGGCCCATCTTTTGGCCCACTAAGAAAGGATATGATGAATGCACCAACACAGGAGGCAACTTGAAACTCTACGAAAATGATCTCATGTCTTTAACCTTAGAACAAATCCATCTTTTTGGCAGACCTTTTGAGCCTCGTCAATTGAGCCTTCCTTATTCAACCTACATTATTCCAAACCTTGGGATGGGAATGGTGCAAAGAGATACAAATGAAAAATTGGGGGAGCGAAACATAAGAGTGGAACACAAAGTTGGACCAAACCTAAGAAGGAAAGATCCAATGCAAAAGCAAAAAAAAAATCGTTCTATACCCAAAACCAAACTTGTCAAGAAAAAGAAAGAAGAAGAAAAAAAAAGAGGACAAGGAAGAAGGCACCTAATGTAGGAGTTGTTAAATGAACTAGAAAGCTTTTAATTTGAGAAGCACCAAAAGTAAGGGACTAAGGGAATATACTTGAGTCTGTCCATTCTTCATAACCCCAAGCCTAGCCACGTTACAATCTTGGAAAGGCCCTCCTTGAGGTAGACCATAACCATGTATCATGAAAGTCATCATTCTACAGAATTATGGCCCACCTTAGGCCTTTGCACATATGGATCTACTATTGAGTAGTTATGCTCATACATAAAGTGCATAAAGTGTTGAGCAATGATTATAAAATCGAAAAAAAAATAAAGAATTGGATGATTTGATAGCCATTGGCTTGATTACATCATTTTTGTAGAGCAATTGAATCAAATTTATTCGATGTTTTTCATATCTTTTTCCAAGAAAATTAAGATGAATATCACTTTCAAAACAATCATCTTATTTTCTTTTAATAATAGGGCTATTTATTACCAAGGTGATTCAAGTTCTATATACGTTGCCTAGAAAAAAGACGAGTGAATACAATTAATTGATTTGATATATTGACAGCCTCGGCATTAACTTTAGATGTCTCTTACACTTCTTAAGCATTAGTCATCTCATTTAGAGCAATTTATATGGCCGCCCGCGTGGGATATATTCATCCTCTCTAAGCAAAGAACATTGATTGAACATGATCGCTACATGAAAAAACGATCGTTATCACTATTACACGTATACCTCACTGCCAAGTCATCACGATGATTCAACTATTAAGTCAATAATCCTTACTTTTCGAAAACATGTCTAATTCTCTTTCTTTATTCTTCTATGGGAAAGTTGGATTCCCCTTCCTTTTTTATGCAAATCCGTCTTTTTTGTTCATTTACTTTTTAGGGGTACGTCGGGATGATCCCTCCCATTTGGCAATTAAAATACCCCAAAGATCGTATGATCTTTCACTCTTTGCCTCAAACTGGGGGCTTACAAAGCCAGGACATCCTCATTTCTCTCTATTTACAGATTTGAACGCGCTAATTATGTTACAAAATCAATATAATTTAAAGCTTATTACGAACCATCTTAATAATAAATTTAAATGACAAAGGGAAGAATACTACATCCTATTATTTGACCAAGATAATTATGTTACTTGATCAAACAGTAATTCATGATAAACATATGCAAAATTCCACAAATTGAAAATACAAATCCTGGAGCTTCAAATATGAGAAACATCTCCTAGCATATGTATACATGAATTACAAAAGCCACCTAAGTCTACACTTGGGGGCTACAAAGGTCTCACCTTAACTTTCGTTTTGAATTAAGACCATATTTTGGAAAGTGATTCGAATGATTTTAAAAATTATTCTAACACTCCGTCAAACCTAAGTTTGATAAATATTCATTTTCAAACCATGGTGCCTACTTAATTGGAAGAACTTCACTTTTAATTAGCAAAATATGACAATGATGACAAACATTAAAAAAGGGAGAGATAACAAGATTAGATATACAAGAGTTTTCTCACATTTCCATATCTTTTTTGAAATAAGTTGCAAATTACAACTTACCTTCATCAATTTTGAACAAAAAAGTCACACTCAATTACGAGCTAGTCTTTTCTTTCTAGTTTGGGTCCAGTTTCGAAAATGACATGTTTATGTATTTTGCGTACTAGAAATAGTAGCTTCACTTTATTTTCAAAACAAACTTTCATTAAATTTATTGGACCCTCTCCAAATTTTGAATTCTATTTCGAAATGACGTGTTTTCCACTCTCTCATAAATTAAAATAGTCTTCAAAATTCCCTATCTAAATTTTGTTTCATTTTCTCAAAATAAACGACTTTTCAGATTTTCCATAACCTTTTGGGACAATACGTGTAATTTATATTTTCAAAAGGAATGAACTAAGATTCGACTTCTTCTTAACTCGAACTTGTTCTCGCCTAATCACCGTGTGAATATTGGCTTAGGGATGGTTAACGAACCACCTAAAAGATTAAAATCAAAGATTGATAAGAACAAAGAAAACATATATTTGAGACATTGTTCTAAGTCAACTTTAAGAATAATCTTACCTCAATGATCTCTACAACGTTTGAACATTAGGTAAAGTCTACTAAACCTTAACAACAATTGTTTTTGGTTTGTAAACAAGCAAAGAACTAACTTGCTTTCTTAAACATGACTTTAGCTAAAACTGCGTAAGTCATGTTACAATCCTAAATGTCCTCAAGACACAAACATGGGATACATAGGCCTATTTCAACATTATGATTAAATATATAGCCTAAAAAATAGCAAGTTTTTGGAATTACCCCAATTTTAAGGCTCCAACACTTGAGAAATAGCAAAAATGCGCATAACCCAGCACATGGGGGCTCCAATGTCCACAATAAACAAAATGAGATATTCATGGCATTCGAGCTACTTTCGAGAATCGCCCAAACTATAAATAGTCTACGCAGATTTCGAGCCTCACAATTTTCAAAAGCGTCACAATGATTCAATAATCATTATGTTCGTTTGAAAACTAAGTTTGCAACCGAACTTGGCCATGGAACAAACTATAAACATATCACATATTTAAGCTATTTCAAGTTCAACCTCAATAACTAATCTTAGTGCATAATTGTTGTTTCAATACTTCAATTAATATGACTAGTATAGAGCCAAAGAAACAAAATCATGAGTATCAAAATAGAATTCAAACGCATATAACATGCCTGCTCATACGAAATTTTAATACTCAATCGTTCATCATGAAAATTGTATCAAGACACTTTATGAACATAAGACAAACAATTTTATGAGTTAAAATGTAAACAAAAGACTCCTAAGTTCAAAATTAAAGGGTCTTCATTTTAAATTCTCTACTGTTGCACGAATGGAAAAGAATTGAAAACATTGGAATTTCACAAAGAGGATAATATCTACTTTCTCGAGCTTCAATCAGTAACAAATTTGAGCTCAAAAGAAAGAATTCGAAAGTAGCGAGAATAGAGGAAAAAGTTGAACAAGATTTCATTTTCCCTCTTACTTGTTCTAACGAACGACCAATATTAATAGACTTAGCAAATTTCCTTTGTAAAAACTATGAATGGTCGAAAACGATTTAAACACACTCGTTTAATCGTTTCAAAGATCCTAATTGTTATCATAATAAGACAAAACCCAGGATTTCTAGACCCATTTCGAGCAACATGAAAGGGTCGAATTCTTAAAAACAAACAAGTTATCGAAGCCACCCAATATTGGGGGCTATGACACTCGAAAATATAAAATGGGGGATTGAAAGCCCAAAATATAACCAAATTACACCAGTTCGATGACGTCTTGAAGAATTTCCTAAACTAACTAGTTTTATGCAAATCTTGAAATCATAGTTTTATAAGTGAATACTAATAACTATCGATTATTGTTATCATTGATAAAACCAATTTTGCAACTTACGCATGGCAGATATAAACATGAGCCGTAAGATCAATTTCATGCCATTATCAAAGTTCAAAATTTCGATCCCAATTTTAGTGCATAATTGTCGTTCTAACACTTCAATTTACATTAAAATTGACAAATATAGTCCATGAGAGCAAAGAGAAAAAAAAAGAAAAAAAAAAGTTCAAGTACAAATTTGGAAATCAAATGAAGGAAAAAACATATATGCTTGTGTTTGCTCATACATGACTCAATACTTGACCACTTCACATGAAATTTGTTGCAATATATTCCTTAAACATGTCACAACAACATAGAACAAACAAATTCATGAAAACAAGTCGAATTGAATACCCCAAATTTCAAAAATTAGGGGTCTTCTTTTGATTTTCTTCATTTTGTTAACCAAATTCAAAGTTTGGTACAATAAACAAGGAGCAAGATTTACAATAAACAAAGTTTGGTACAATCTAGAGAAAGAGATCGAAAATAGCGAATGACGAAGAAGAGCACAAGCCGCAGATCGTGTTTCTTCCAGAATTGTTCGTTGTTTAAGTTCTGCGCGCAACTCACAAAGTTGCGCGAGACAACAATATTGCACGTGAAACCCCAGTGCAACCCTCAAAGTTGCG